CCTGGTCTACAGCGCGAGATCCAGGAAAGGCGCAAAGCTACACAGAAACCCTGTCTCGAAAAACCAAAAAAAAAAAAAAAAAAAGAACAGAAAACCCATTGTAATCTGTGTAGATATAGAAAAGAATTTTTGATAAAATTTATCATCCCCTCATGTATAAAATGCCAAAAACTTAGAATAGAAGAAATATCTTTCAGCATATTAGTGGACATACGTAGGAAAACTGTAGCTTACATTCCACTAGGTAGGGGGAATCCAATATATTTCCAGTACAACCAAGAAGAAAATGAACTGAATTCCTCCAGTCTTATTTAATATAGTACCAAATTCTAAGATAGAAAAAAATAAATGAACAAAAAAAAGCTGTACAAATAAAAAATCAAGTCAAAGTACCTACTCTTGAGTGATACAATTCTATCAGTGTAAGACTGAAAGTATTTAGCAGGGATCACTTAGATCTGATAAAGACTTTTAACAAAGTGACAGGGTACAAAATTATCAAACAAACAAACAGTTTTTCTCTATACCAATGATGAACAAATTGAGAAACAAATCAGAGATATCAGTCTATTACAAATGTCTAAAGAAAACACCTCAGGATAAATCTAAACAAGTTTGCTGGCTTCTAAAAATGTCCCATATAATGTTAAGGTTTGAATACTTGGTTCGCAGTTGGTGTATCTTATGGGAAGATCAGCAAGTATGAACTTGTTGGAGGAAATATGTCACCTGGGTGGGATTTCAGGTTTCAAGGACTAACACTGTTTCGAGTGCTCTCCTTCTGCCTCCTGTTTGTGGGTTGAGGTATGAGATCTCAGGTGTTACCCCCATGCCATGCCTGTCTCCCTGGTGCCATGCTTCCTGTAATGGTAATGATTAACACTGATCGCTCTGGAATCATAAGTTCCAAACAAAGCATTCCTTCAATGTGCTGCTTTGTTAATGGTGTTTTATCACAACAATAGAAAAGTAATGAATACACCCAGGAGGCAAAGCCCTCATTACTGAAATCCTCAACACATTGAAGACAGAACCTTATGCAGATATTAGGAGATGAAAAATGTTCCCATGGTCACAGACTAGAGAAATTCATGTTATGAAAATGCCCATCCTACCAAAAGCAATGAACAGACTCAATATAATACCAATCAAGATTTTAGTGTTATTCATAGAAATAAAAATTAGTAATCTTCAAATTATTATGGAATGGTTGGATGCTCATTCTTAAATTCAACACTACAGAACTGTCTCTAATCCTCAGGGATCATTGCAGAAGAGGGAATGTAAATAATGTAGAAGCTCAAAAGAGAAAGAGAAGGGATGGAAAGTGCTGACATGTGGGCATGACAGAACAAGTGTACTCATGATCTTAAAGCAACTGAAGCAGCTGCAAAGATTGTGCATAAGACTAGCCCAAAAATGAGGTATCATGGACTGATGAGGATACTCACTGGACACTACAACTTCACAATGAAATTATGAATACTGAATGATTCTTGGTAGTAGGAAGATACTGTCCTCAGTTGGGTCCACAGTGAGGTGCCAACTAGGTTTCTATAGGTAGTCCAAACCCCACATTCCCACAGAAGATAAAAATCATGGTTAAATTAAATGGGTCACCAATAAAGAGATGTGAAAGTTATAAAAGACAACTGTAGGGAATGGGGGTTACTAAATGTGAGAGGGAGATAAGGGAGGGCAAAGAGTTTCAATAAGCAGAATATAATTTATAAATCTTTGTAATTTCTAAAGAACAAATTCAATAATAAATTCATACAAAAGCACAAACAATTCCAGATAATAAAAGCATCCTTGGAAAAAGATAGGACCTTATTTCAAGTTATACTACAGAGATAGAGTAATGAAAACAGCAATGCACTGACACAAAACAAACATGTGGATTAATTGAAATAAAAACCAAGACATAAGTTCACACAACTGCAGGCACTGTATTTTTGACAAAATATCAAAAACATTCATTGGAAGAAAGATCTTGGTATCTTCAGTACATGGTATTTTAGAAACTAGATTGCTATGTGTAGAAGAATGAAGTTCAATCTTAATCCTTCATTACACACACACACACACACACACACACACACACACGCACACGCACATGCACACGCACACACGCACACACACACACACACACACACACACACACATTCACACCAATTGTAAATGTATCAATACCGTCAAGAGAAGACACAACACTCTGACACAATTGAGGAAAATACAGGAAGTGCGCTTTGAGCGGTAATCACAGGTAAGGACTTTCTAAATGCTACTCATCTCACTCAGAAAATAAGGCAAATACTCAACAAGTGGGACTCCTTGAAATTAAAAGTTTTCTATCCACCAAAGGAAATCATTAATCATGTGAAGGTTCAGCTAATAAAATGGAAGGAAGCTTTGCCAGTTATATGCTTCCAGACAATGTGTATCTAGTATCTAAAAAGAATTAAAGATAATAAAATATTTAATACAAACAAAGAAATGGATCAAAACTTGTGGTATGGAACTAGAAACCATACCATAAAAGAAAGAGAATGCCTCATATGAATTTTGAAAGTGTTCATCAACATTAGCTATCAAGGAAAGACAAATAAAAAGTAAAAATTACTTAGGAGTCCATCTTATCTATGTCAGAATGGACATTGTTATAAAAAAAATTATGCCAGAGCTGTAACATAGAGAAAATGCATCTCAGAAACAACAAAAAAGGAAAAAAAAACAAATAAATGTTTGAAATGTATGTTGAAAATTTTTGAAAATAAAGATAATTCAAATATAAAGGGATGAGAAAGGAGTAGTTGCAAGTAATGGACAGGAGTGTTAAATGAGAATATAGGCTTATATTTTTCTTGTTCTAAATTTCTCATGGATTTGGGGGTCTTGTGGTCCAAAATTGTGTGAAATATAAGCAATATTGAAAGTATAACATTTAATATGAAGTTTCCCAGCTTCTCTTTTGGAAACCAATTCTAACTGTACATGAATTAATTAAATTATATAGACTCTGAGTCTCAATAATTTTGGTGAATCTGGTTTTTATATACAAGTTGCTTTATAATAAAATTTAGTTTTTTTTAATTTTCATAAAAATTGTGGGGAAAGAAAAACACTGTTGGGACTGAAAACTGCATAGCCATTACTTAAATCACTGTGGGAATCATTAACAAAGATGAAAACAGAAATTCCATATCACCCAGCTATCAAAAATTATGTATATACTCAAACTAGGTAGGTATGTACTACTATAGACATACATATATATATACAACTGCATAGGTACTTGAACATTTGTGCTAATTGCAGCTCTATTCACAATAGCTACAGAACAGGTTTAGCCTAGATGCCCATCAATTGAAAATAGATGAGATTGTGATATGTACACACAATAAAATTTCATTCAGCTTTAAAGATGAAATTACGAAATTCACAGTAAAATATTTGGAACTAGAGACTATAATTAATAAGTTAACACAAGCACAGGTAGACAAACACTGCATCTTTTGTCTCATATTTGGATTCTAGACAAATTTTTAGCATGTTTACCTTGATCTATATATAAAGGAGAGGAAGGCAGAAAAGAACCATTAGAAGTGTAGCAAGAAAAAAGAGACCTTAAGAAGAGAGAAATATGAGGACACATATGGTATCAATATGAAGGAAGGGAATATGAGACTGATTGTGTTGATAAAGATGGGGTGAGTAAATTAGGGACAGAATTAAGCAAAACCAAGAATATATGAAAATGCCATATGCAAACTCATTAGTTTGTAAAGTCATTTAAAATTTTATTAAAGAGTTTAAATCAAGGCAACTTTCATGAGCAGATACTACTGCTCCCAGAAGTTATTGGTTATAAAATGAAAACTGCATTGCTATTATTGGGATACCTCACTAGGAGTTGTTGCCCAAAATGGGCCTGAAGATCCAAATAATGTAGGCAACTGTCACTACTGTCAGTTGCCCACAAAAACTGGTTGGGAAGACCCTATTTCTTTCTTTTTTCTTTTCCTTTTTTTTTTCTTTCCAGACAGGGTTTCTCTGTGTAATTTTGGTGCCTGTCCTGGATCTGGCTCTGTAGGCCAGGCTGGCCTTGAACTCACAGAGATCCACCTGGCTCTGCCTCCCGAGTGCTGGGATTAAAGATGTGTACCACCACTGCCCAGCTAGACCCTATTCCTAAAGCCAATATCATAGTCTTGTCACACAACATAAGGAAAGAAAACTGGGAATGAGCTGAAATACGCCTTTTTTGCTGAATAGTCTTCATTGTAACAGAAGGTTTATGTACGATTCTAGTGGGACAATCCTGTCAATAATATTACTATATGGACACTGATATTTCAACCATCCATACAATATATACCTACTGGTGCAATAACTGCAATTGTGGTATTAGAGTAACCAATCATTTTCTGATTGAGAAGACTTCACATCTGATATAGTCAGCATGTTCAAATATTCATGATGAGGAAGAAATAGGTCCTAGTGTTGTTGCTACCACTGTTGCTCTGTTAACCACAAGGTATAACATTCTAATTAGTACTAGAAAGACTAGATACTCCAAATATTGCCAGGATTGTTAGTCATAGGTCAAGCTGTAGCTGTGCCATTAGGCAGTGGCTTGTGGGAACAGGAAGACTTCGCAATTAGGTTTGTAATGGTAATGATCCTTGGATTGGTTGGTAGAGTGTAGAGGAATAAGATGGAGGGAGCCAAGTTAAAATACAGAATATACTAAAGGCTTGAGTTGTAACCAAGTTAGATAACATAAATGACTTGGGGGTTGAATCCCAGCATTAAAGAAACTGAATATTGAAGTGAGTGCTTATAGTCTTAGAACTCACGAAGTACAGGGAGGAGGAGCAGATATCCAAGTTAATCCCTATCTGCATAGAGAATTCAAGGCCAGCCTAATCTGTATCACACCTTGTCTCCATAAATGTAACTGAGCCTCCCTCAACCTGTATATTTAACAGGACACTCACCGTTTCCTTTGAGGAACCATTCAAAGTAAGTTCTTAGTGACTCTGGATTATCAATAAGGTTTGTGTTACGTTGGAAAAAATACCTAGACACAAGAACATCTCTGGGATTTCTGATGATATAGATCACCTTAAATGGAAAAACATGTAAATGAAGGTCAATATAGTCGTAAACCAATTTTATCTGGCATAGTTTATATGAAAAGTCAATCAAATATCAATAAGGTTTCCAAAAATATTTATTATTTTTATTTGAACAAAATATGAACAGAAGTTCCAAATTTTTATATTTATAGAATTTTCTTTTATAATTTTGATTTACAAAAATGTAACAGCAAAATGACTGAGGTCAGTAATACTGTAATAAAACCAACAGCAACAATAAAAAGACAAGATTGATTCAATACTTGTAAAGATCAACATTTTACAGGGTGAAAGACTATCCATCCACTGTGAAAGAATGTTTTATATACATGGAATAATGCATACTATGCTAAATTTATCTTCAAAATGACAAACAAAATGGTTTCTGTAACTGTAACTATAAAAGAAAACTCTCAAAAAAATCATTATGCAGAGTTTAATGCTAAAGTTTCATTGCAAAATGGTGAACACAAAGACCCATGAGCACCTAAAAAATGCTGAGATGGAAAGAAATGGGAAAAGCATAGCAATTGGTTATACAACACCAATTTCTTAGCCCTGAAAACATAATACAAGTAACATTGCACATACTGAGCAGATTGTACCAAGGTACTTAGGACTATGTAGATACATATACAGATGTAACAACAAATAATGAAAAAACACAAATTTGTAAGACAAAGAAGAGGGGTATGATGGTAAGCCTGGAGATAGGAAGAAGGGGGAATAATGTATGTAATTATAGTATAATCTCAAAACAGAAGAAATAATTAAAAAATTAATGAAATGAAATAAATATTTTGTCCCAATGCTCATTGTGACATTATTATATAATTCATCTTGTGGGCCTTAATTTCTCCAGACACAAGTTTTCTAAATCCACATAAGACACATAAATATAGCTTTATGATCACAACTTCATTGTGATAGTTTCAAGAGACATTATTTTCTACATTTGTCTTTGTAGTTTAAGCATAAATAATTATAGTTTCTAAGGTGTGGGGATTTCCACAAAACTTTCTTATTAACACTGAGCAATGATGTGTCAGAACCTGGATATTTCTGATTCCTTTAGGAGATCCCCTATGAGTGATGTCGGTGATTTTTGTGGCTACAGATCTTAATGGACAGCTAGACACAGCAAGACACAATGGGTACAGATAAGCCATGGTTGTTGAACAATCTCCCAGATTACAGCATTAGCGCCTGTTCAGGCTGCTTCCCCTATGAGCAACTCTGCTTGGGTGATTCACCCACTAGGTTTTGGCTATATGTAGAACCAATTTTAGCTAAATGACTTTGATGACAACAAAACAGTAATATCCACTGTACACTAGAATTTGAGCTCTACTTGACCTGTATGTGTACTCCCTGAATGCCCTACTGTGATAACACAGTTTTTTGCATTATATCTGCCCAGGATCACCGAGAGGTGGTTGAATGCATTTCAGGCAGAGGTCCAGGGCCCAACACAGTAGAATAAGTTCAATGAGCATTTGGCCAAAGATTTCTCAACTACTGGACACTGACCTTGGCCTTGGATCTGAAGAAAGACTTGGGGAAAAGATGGAAAGGGAGGTGGGAGGACATGAGGAGTGGTCCTTCCTTATTGATTAATATTGGAAATCCCTTTAGAGTCTCTATCCAGGGTGAGCGGTCCCAGATAGGCACAGATTGGATCCATTTGGGATTTCCCTTGGTCTGAATCAAGCAGACAGTCTCAATCAGCCAGTTAGTTCCTGAACAAGAAGGAAAAGTTATTGACACTCATATCAAAAGCACTTCTGAAAAGCCTTCAATAGAATATACAACCATACAATTTACAATGTAGCTGTTTCCAAGCACAAAAGCATGTGGTATTTGCAATATCCACATGGTGTAAGTACAAAATATATTCTTCCAGAAGATTGAAAATACTTCACCTAACAAAACTGAGAATCTTTACTCAGTAAACCCTACCTGCCTATTGAACATTCCCTTCAGTCAAGAACCACTCTGTTCCTGTGAATTCAACTATTCCAGATATTTGTCAGGGATGCAGTCATGGTATCTGTCCTTGAGACTGAAACATTTTATTTAATACAGTGTCATTAAGATGCATCCATCCTGCACTGTATGTATTAGTACTGCTTCTCTTTAGCTTAAATAAATCCCATGGTCTATTTACCATACACACATGTATTTGTGATTATATGCTCATTTGTCAATGAGTGTTTCTCTAGCATTATTCTCTGGTATATTATCTGAATCCTTTTCCTGCACTCCACTGTCCTTAGATTTTCCATGTTATTGCCCTTTTATGTTAGCAACCTAATACTTAACCAATGTTTACTGCTTCTGCTATCTACCACACTCCTTCCCGGAATGACCATGATGCCTTTCTTGCTTCCTTGAGTTTTGAGACTCTTTCCTCTACTTGAAGAAGGTCCATGGTAATTCTTCTGATGTTGTCCTCTCCTCCACATATTCTTACATTCATGCCTTTGATTCTTGATGCTCTTTTATTTGTTTATTCTCATCAATATCTCTTCCACATAGAGAGAAACGAATGCCACAATCTGCTTTAGGAAACAGTCGTTGCTCCAAGGAACAGCTCAGGCACTGCTAGTGCCTAAACTGCTCCACTGACAACATTGTTTAGGTTAGAGTTCTTCCTCTGAGTAATAATGCTCTCAGATACAGCTCTTCAAGCCCACAAACCATTGAAAACATGAGATATATAAATCATTCCATTCACCACCTAAATAAAGGATGGTTAAAGCCCCAAACTTCCACAGACAGTTCAGGATCATTCTCAGTGATGTTCCTTACCTGATTTAGGATAACTCACTATGACCGTGTCTTCATCTCTGATCACAAACTTGTCACGGCTTCCTTCAATAATTTCTCTTTTAGACAATATAGCAGAGAAAGGTATTCCTTCAAACCAAAAGTAGGCTGACATCCCAAAAAACTCTTTCTTGGTGCTGTGAGAATTCCAGCATTGATCACTGTTCAGATTAAAGCAAATGCTGAGAGGTAAAATTTATAGTGCAGTCAAAAAATCATTAACATCCCAAAGTTTGTACTGAAATGAGCTGCTGATAGGGAGAAACAGAGATTGCAGAAACCAGTCAAAGGTTGCTGTATTAAGCAACTGTGAACTTATTCAGAGATTGTTCTAGAAAATTGTGAGCCTGAGGTCATGGCCCCAAACCAGAAACTCAATAACAAGTACTTAGACATTGAAACAAGGCTTAGTTAAAATATTTTCTAATACAATTAAGTATTCACAATGGTTTCAAATGTGCAAAAAATTTACAGAGACCATAAAAAATGTTGCCCTGAAAAAAAGTTGCCATGTAAAATCATTTTTTTAAAAGTAGGGATTGTTTTTGATAAATATAGTGCCTTCACTACACCTCAGCCTCGTTTTTCCCCTCCAATGCTTTCCTTCCTTTCCCATATTCATGATCCCTTCTTTAATTTTCACTGCTATGTTGATAAGATCACACATTTACATAACATACAGAGTCCATTTAATTCTCTTTGTATGTGAATATATCCTTAGATGAGCACTAGGGTTTGAACAACCAATATGGGATTTCCCCTCCTGAGGCAGTTGATTCTACCTTCATTGACCTGTTTTGTTTTTTTCATCTAGGGATAAGACAATGTAAACTTTCCCCTATCATTATTTGGGTAAAAACTGGTGCCATTATGGTGATTCATTTGGGTAAGTATACTGGTGAGGGTTCAAAAGTGTGTTGCTCTGTCATGTCTGTAGGATATGTCCTATCAACAATATCCTCAGGCTCTGTGTTTTTACAAGCCTTAGGTAGATGGGATTCACTGTAAAAAAAAGTTTTGCAACTCTGTGGGTGTGGTCCTGGTTTTTGGCACCAAAATATAAATTTTGCAACTCTGGGGGAAGGGTATCCTGACTATTTGGAGAGTCAAGTCACACCTTGAGCTGCTAGGACAGCCCTGACAGCAGGAGCTGCAATGAGAAAGCTCAGCCCTAGAGGGTATCTGGGATACCTCAAGCTGCTAGGACAGTTCAGCCCTGGAGGCATCCCAGATACCTTGACTTGCTTAGGACAGATCAGCCCTGGAGGGGAAGGTCTCCCAGATACCTTGAGCTGCTAGGACAGCTCTGAGGGCTGGATCTGAATGAGACAGCTCAGCCCTGGAAGGCAAGTTATTCTGACTGCTCAGGAGAGCCAGGCCTGGAGCGTCTAGGACAGCTCAGCATGAAAGGGTGAATTAAGATCTTCACACCTAAAACTCTTTTGAGAAAGGAATTTATTTGGGAAAGAGGATTCCAGTAGAGTGGTTGCCTCTAACAGGGTTGAGAGAATAGACCACGACTGAACATGCAGGGTGCTCTATATAGAATATCTTGGGGGTGGAGTCAACCAAAGATTGGTTAGTTTTTTCTGCTCAGGGATTGGTTAGTTTTATGGGTTAGGGGCAGAGTTAGCCTTGATCTCAGAGCAAAACTGTGTTTTTTTTTTTTTTTTTTACTGGACTTTCTTGGCTTTTTGACATTAATTCCAAGGCTAGGGCATATTTCTTTCACTGACTCTGATTCTAGGGACCAAGAGTGTTTCTTTGGTAATGGTTTCAGAGTCAGGGCATGTTTCTTAGGTTCTGGGTTTGGGTATAGTTTTTCTTTCTCTGGCTCAGTTCCCAGACCCAGGCTGTGTTTCTTTCCCTGGTTCTGGGCTCCAGGGTCAGGTTGGGTTACTTTAACCAGCTCCTTTTCCCATATTCACTGCAGATGTGGCAACTGGAGTTGGGTACTTTACAGTGAATTATTTGTGGAACTTTGTGATAGTCTCCATATATTGCAAATCTTTGATGAGGGGTGAGAACTATCTGTGTGTATAAAGATAGGTATTTAGAAAACAGCTGGAACGTATGCTGGTTAGTTAAACTGGCAGCAGCAGGTTCACCTCTTGGGTCTATGCCCTCTCCATGCCTATCTGGTTGTCTATGTTTACAGTTCCAGACAGGGCTCACCTCTTGTTGAGTGTGCTTTAAGTCCAATTACACAGCCCTTGAAACCTCTGGAGAGGTCTAGAGATTGATCCTTTCCCTTTGCACCTTTTCTCTTTCGAAAGCCACTTTTCAGGAAAGAGGTTCCAGGTCAGGTTCAGTTCAATTCCCCAAACGTCTGTGTCTGAAGTGCATGGAGACTTTAGCAAAAGAGTTGAATTTTCAAATTCTGAGACAATCAAGGGCAACATTAGCTGATAGTGTTTTGGAAGTCTCATGGATACCCTGACCAACAACTTAAAAGGAGGTTTCTCATGCATAGTACTTGGATATATATATATATTCCACGGCATTTGGGGTAATATGATCACTATTAATGGCATAAATTTTTTTAAAAATACATGGTAATTCACGCATATTATATGTGATTTTAGATAAATATGGAATAATAAGATCTTCTCTGTCTTTTTAAACATGCTTAGTAGTATGTATCCCTCCTTCCACTCTGTCAATCTATATTGCACTCTGTGACCCTTTATCAGTTAAAGCCCCCATCCTTTTATTCCATTTCTCCCTTTGTAGTACCTGCATGCTGTTCTAGTATTGAGAGATGCTTTAGGAATTGATCCCATTTTGCTTTCTTGGTTTTGCAGTTGCTTGAGGTTACAAACTTACATCTACAGGTTCAAAGTCAGAAAGCACAAATAAGGGAGAACATTTAATATCTGTGTCTGTGTCTGTGTTACCACATTCAGTATAATATTTTTTACTTTAACACATTTACATGAAAATTTTATTAATTCATTTTTCTCCATTCCTGAATAGATATCCATTGTATACATGTATCATGTTTTCATTAGTAGTTCATTGGTTGAAGGACATTTAAGTTGTTTTTCTTTCTTATCTATTATGAACAGAGAGTAATGAACATGACCAAGAAAGTATTTGTGAAACAGAATATCAAGTTCTCTAAACAATGCCAAGGAGTAGTAGATTTGTGCCTGGTGATAAATTTTCCACACTAATTTTCAGAGAGGCTCAACTAATCTCTAGAGTTTTCTATCCGACTAAAAGTGCATGAGGTTTCCCCTTTCCGTACACCTTCTCTAGCATTTATTCCCACAAGCATTTGTTGTTTATGGTTTTTGGAATGCTAGTCATTCTTGCTGAGTCAGATGAAATCTCAAAGTAGTTTCAATATCATTTTCTGAAGTTTAATTATATTGACCGATTTAAAATATATTTCTTAGACATAGACATTTTAATTTCTTCTCTTGAGAACTTTCTGGTCAGAGATGTCTCGCAGTTATTAATATAGCCAAGTTTTTAAATTGATCATCTCTTTCATGGGACACTTCTGTTTTCCTTAAATTTTTTCTTACATTTTCATTTAATATTTTTGCATGTAATAAATTTTGATCATAATTTACACCATACCGCAGACTTTCAGATTATACACAGTTGACTTTATTCCTCTCTCAGTAAAAACCAAAATGAATTAAAGTACAAACAAACAAAAAAAGAAACGAAACAAAAATAAAATGACATACCCTCCTAGACACACCAGATGGAGTCTGTTTTGTGTTGGCCCTATTCACCTGAGTATGAGGGCTGACATGGAAAATGGCTGATACACCCAATGACACTCCATTGGAGATAACTTAATTTCCCTTCCTAGAAGGTATCAATTGCATATTGGTTCTCTGTTAGGAGTGAGAATTTGTGTCCAAATATCTTTTTCTGTGCTGAAATTTTGTCTCATATAAGATGTGTAACTTGTGCATGCTGTTAGTCTGTATGTAATGTTCTGTAAATTTGAATTTACCCAACAATTCTGGCTCTTACAATCTATCCATCTCCTGTTCTTCATGGATCCTAGCACCAAGAGTAGATGAGTTTTATGTGGATATCTGGTTTTGGAATGATTGATCCAAGTTTCTCCCTTTCTGCACTTTGTCCAGTTGTGATCTCTGTGTTAATTAAAATCTACTGCAAAAAAGTAGCTTCTCTGATGAGAGTGGTGTGATGCCCTGATCTATGGGTATAGCAATATGTCATCAAGACTAATTTTATTGCTGTTTCATTTAGCACAATAATAGTTATAGATTTTCCCATAAGTCCGGGAACAATCTAGGATCTGGTTTTGGCCTCATTATCACTGTCTGATGTGGATTCCACCTATTGGAATTGGATTTAAATCCAGTGAAAATGGTGTTGACTATTCCCATAATATTTTTTTTCCATTAAAGTACCAATAAATCTGGAAGATATGTCACTTGTATAGGTCACAGGATTTGTAGATATATGATATTTATGATGGCTTTTCTCCTCCTGTAGTGTGCGCAGTACCTTCCAGTACTGTTAATGATGGTCAGGAGAGATGAAGCTTTTTGTTAGACACCAACTCAGTTTCTCCATGGTGAATAATATAAGTTAAGTTCTGTCTTCAGGAATAGGGCCTTATCATCAGGTTGTGGAAGGTAACCAATAACATTGACAACAGACTATAATATTTGTGGGTGTGTATTGGAAACTTTTTTGCCATCTATTCAAAAGATGAAAACCAATTCCTGATACTATAGATTTTACTTGACAGCATATAAATTCTAGTTGGAACATGATCATCCCTATATGTCATAATACAATTTGAATTATTTTATTTACTTTAGAAAGTATCTAAATTAGTGGGTTTCCACATGACTTTTCAAAATATATTTAGTATAAATTTTAGGAAACACTAGCCCCACAAGTTGATTAAAATTTGATCTTGCCTATTATTTTGATATTTCACAGGATTTCAGTTTGGAGAAATATTGAAACTAACATTATAGAGTATATGCCATGATAAAAGACTATCATTTTGAATTGCTTTCTAACTACTTATTATTATCTGATACCAAATTGTGGTGGTTTTAAACAAAATGACCAACAAATGGAGTGGTAATATTAAGAGGTATGACTTTG